AATTTTCAACTGGTGTGCCACAAGAACTTCTAAAACACGCAGTACCTGACTACTGAGTCAGGGGCACTGACCTCTTTCCCTTATATTATCCAATAAAATAATGACAACAGCCAAGAAAACAACAATAACCATCCAGTGTGAATGAATCAAAATTATACCTATTTTTTGTCAGATTGGCAAAAAATATTTCTGGGGGTATGCCACAGAATTTTAGTAATTATTACTTTATGTGTGCCATGAGATGAAAAAGTTTGAAAATTGCTGCCTTAGAGAATTAATTGAGATGAGAAGCCAAATACAATTTGGCTGCTTTTTGGAAAAAATACTTGACTTATATATTAGGTCCTCCTCTATTCCTATTAGCATGTAACAATGCGAGCCTTGTTTCTTGGTGCCAATGGACTGTTAAATACCGAGGACATGTGGATGCTGAGGTAGGGTGGCGGTCTGCGGTTAGAAGGTGCTCGGTCACGATGATCCAGAGTCTAGTTCTATTACCTTTTCTTCAAGGTACCATCAACGTGAAAATTTTTAAAGTAAATCCTCAAAGAGAACACACCTCTATGGGTCTGCGCATAGGAAACAACTGATCTATGGGACAGGATTTACTCCCCCCGCCAGAACGGCTATAATGAAAGAGAAAGGGTAACACGTGACGGGAGTGGGGAGGGGGGGTGCTGTGGAGAAACTGGAGCCAGCACACACTGCGGTGCGAACGTCACACAAGGCAACACCTCTGGGAAGCAGTGCAGCGGTCCGTCAGAATGTTAAAAACAGAATCACTGTACGACCCAGCAGGTCCCCTACTAGGTGTCTTCCCAAAAGAAATTAAAACAGATTTCCACACAGAAATTTCAATATAAATGTTTAAAGAAGCATTATTTTTTCAAGAGCCAAAAAGCAGAAACAACCCAAAATGTCCATCAACTGACAAATGGGGAAACAAAATCTGGAATATCCATACGACTGAATATTACTTAGCAGTGAAACAGAATGGAGGGCTGATGCACTACAAGATAGAGGAATCTCAAAAACATTATGCCTAGTGAAAGAAGGCAGTAATAAAAACCACGTATTATATGACCCTATTTAAAATAAATGGGCAAACCCACACGCATGGAAAATAGATTAGTGATCACCTAGGGAAAGAGTGGAAAGAAAGGGTTAATGGATACAAGGATTTTGGGAGAGGAGTAATGAAAATGTTCTAAAATTAGAATATTGTAATGACTACATACCTGTTAGGTATCGTAAAACCCACTGACTTTCACACATTAAACAGGTGAACATGAAGGTCAAAATCATGTATCTATGAAGCTGTTTCCAAAACAGAAACATCAGACTGTGAAAAGCCTTTTTACCATATAGTTAACTCAACGGATTAGAAAACCCCTTCTAATGAGATCAAAACCTTACGTGGATGTGTGGGCCAGTCTGTCTTGGCTTTTACTAAAGGTCATTGGCTATGGCTCTGAGGTTGAAAATTGTGAAAATACACGTTTTTAAAAAATCAACATCAATCAACTAGAAAGTGAACATTCTAAATACATTAAAAGGTTCGCGAATACCACTATCTTCACGGACAAAGATAACAATAAAAATGACGCACGCTGGTACTTGTTAGAAGTGCGCGAGCTCTGTGAATCACAAGAGAGCCATATAACTGGAATAGGGACTAAGTGAAGGAGAGCACTTTGACGTGATAACAAGAGGTAGGCTTATTTTTTTTTAATTTTCACCTATTGGCACGGAAATGAGTATATTTGCAAGTTGCTTATTAATCATTAATAGCCCTGAAAGCTTCCCTGTTCTAGAAATCGTCTTCCGTGACTTACACAGTGTAAAAGTACTGCTTGACACACTGTCAATAACACTTGAGTAAAACAGAAAAGCATAAAATAACAGCAGCAATAAGGAACATTAATATTAATTATTTAGACCTATATCTGCTCCTTCAAAACGAACACATACTTTAGGTTCTTGATAATTAATGTGTTGAAAAGAGTTAAGTCCCAAGCATGCTGTCTGGCTCTGGAGTGCTGGCCAGCCCGGGGAGAATGGAGGGGAGCCCTACTCCAGACAACTGTGCCTTTGCGGCCTGGGAAACAATCAGGACGGGCACGTCCACGCCGCAGCTGAAACCAGACTTTAAAAACTGGTCAACGTCACGTGATTAGAAACATGAGACAAGATTAGAATCCAGAAACGTTACATCAATATACCATGCTACCTCTTATTGTAATTTTACCCCACTGCATTATTATGTGCTTGCTGATAAAGGGGTGGAAAGAAATCACAGAAATGTTAGCCTGCATTTCTCAAACCTCTCAGAAATTTCTAGAATTTGGATTACTAGTACTATTAAGCTATGAAGATATTTACCCAGAAGTGGTCATATCTACCTTACTATTTAAGTTCACCTTACTATTTAAGTGAAGTACTTAAAAACAAACTTCAAGTGGTCACAAGTGATTCTGCAGACAATGCAGTTCTAAAGGACAACCGTCTCCACTAGGAGAACGACACAGTCCAAGGTTGTTGCTGCTATTTACTCCTTTTTTAAAAATTAGAAATACAGACCTAAAGGTTTAATTCTTCAGTGTCCTGTCATTACTCAGCAATGTACCAGCTGACAACGGAGAATTACATCATGAAACTCACAGTACTACTTGAAAGTCTGTTCCACTGTGGTGCTGACATGCCGTCGCACTCCAAACACAACTGTGAGGTTTGTCCCACATTGTTTCTTAAAAGAAGAAGGATGATATTGCCAGGTCTGCACTGGAGATTTGAAGTAACTCATTTATGGAGTTAAACTGTTTGTTTTACATTATGGTATAGAATACACATAACATACAAGTTACCATTTAAACCTATTTTAAGTGTTCGATTTGGAAGCATTAAGTACATTCACACCATTGTACACCATTGTACAGCACCTTCACCTTGCAAAACTAAAACTAAACCCATCAAACGACAACTCCTGCATCCCTCCCCCTTCTCCCAAATCCCTCACAACCACTGTTACTCTATTAGTTCTAACAGATCTTTTTTGTGTGGAGTCTTTGGATTTTTCTACATATAAGGTCATGTTATCTGTGAACAGAGATCATTCTATTTCTTCCTTTTTAATGTGGATGTTTTTGTTTTTTTCTTGCCTAATTGAGCTGGCTGGGACTCTTTCTTTTCTCCCCTGGCTTCTGTGGCAGCATTCCTGAGTCTTGCTTCTCTTCCTTTGCCTGCTTCATGGGTACTCTCTGTGATCTTCTGTAAATATTGCTGTTCTTTAGGATTCTGTCCCAGGTTTCTTCTTATATCACATATACTCTTGGCTTCTATTATAAAAGCTAGTTAAAAAGTCCCAAATTTTCTTCACAGCTCAGGGTTTCACGCTGTTTGGATTCAAATAATTATCCATCTTCAAGAGTATGCCGAAGCCTCCATCAATTTGAACTTGATCTTTCCTCCCAAGACTGCTTCTTTATACTCTTAGTTCCCTTCTCCCATTAACTGCACCTGCAGTCAACCACTCTATTAAAACTATTTTCTCCCACTGATCCCCTGTCTCACTGGTAACTAAATACATTTGGGTATTTCTTAAATGTGTCTCTCTGCTCCCTGCCACGGCCTTAAGGAAGGGAAAGGAATCCATCCTTTACAAAAAGGCTTGGTAAAATCCAACTATACCTCTTCAATTCCAGTCTTGCCGATCTTCAAATCTACCCTCCACCTTCTCTCTAGTATGAATTTTCTGAAAACAACAAAAGCCCTCTTATCTCCACTGTCTATGGAAATGTTCAATGGTTCTTTGTACTTCTCAGTATACAGTCTGTCCCTTTAAGACTCATTTCTTTCACTCTCTTCAACACTCACCTCTGTAGTACATTCATGCTATTTTTTAAAAAGATCTATTTATTTATTTTTGGAGAGAAGGGAAGGGAAGGAGAAAGGCAGAGAAACATCAATGGGTGGTTGCCTCTCGCATGCCCCCTTCTGGGGACCTAGCCCACAATCTAGGCATGTACCCTGACTGGGAATTGAACCGGCAACCTTGGGTCGCAGGCCCACTCAATTTACTGAGCCACACCAGCCAGAGCATCTATATGGTATTCTTACCACTGAGCTGCCTTTCTGCTATTCAGTGGTTTTCAGTTTCAATGGCTGACTGGGGACCCATCCAACACTAGTCTGCCACCAAAACAGTGTTTGAAAATCACTATTACTTCAAGTTTCAGTTGGCATGCAGCTTCAGGAACTCAACCACAGAATGATATAATAGAAAATACACTGAACTTGACACTAGGGCACCAAGTTTCTACTTCTATTTTTAAAAAGCCAAGGAGTTAAAATTGTCCTGGGCCTATTTTATCATTTGCCACATAAAAGTGTTCAACTAGATGATCTAACAGTCCATTAACGTTAACAATTCTAGTTTTCCATTGAAGAGCACTGAAAATCATTAGGTACTGAAAATAAGCAATTAAGGCTAATTTACGGCACTGTTTAACGCCTACAGATCCATCAACATTAATCATTCAAACACACAATAAACTATCAACTAGATAAACAAAGACTATAGAATACCTTGTTCTAAGGATTTAGGTGTAAACGGGACTGGAAGACTAAACCAATTAGATAAGAAGGCAAAACTGTAAACGAAGAAAGAAGTCAAACTTACAATCACCAAGAGGAGGGCTACCTAGAGTGACTGAATAACCTGGGGTGATGTAACAATTTCAAAGCAAGCAAAATCTTAAGGTTAGACCAGGGTTTTCATGGCTTTCATGCATCGAAACGTTTCCATGTAAATGAACTCTTTTCTAATTTGAGTCTTTTCTCCCCATGGCCATTCAAGTTACTCTCCCCCCTCACCCCCCTTCTGAGCTTTGTTGTCATTTGCTTTTAAGCCTCAAGCAAATGCCTTCTCCTTGTTATTTGGGGAGATGTGATGGATAAAATCAGCTGAAGCTTCTCATTGACCACAAACACGCTTCAGGCCATCAGGAGTCTCTAGCAGTTAGGGCTTCGTCGGATTTCTCCCAGCTCCACCGCTCCGTCCCCAGCGGCGCACGCCGGGCTCCAGGCAGCGCGTCAAGGGAGTGGTCGGCGTCACCCGCCACCGCCACTATGAGAGTCGAGTCCTGTCGCCTTGACAGAGGCGAGGATTGCTTAAGCACAGCCGAAATCGTTTGGTTCTCGTTTTCGTGAGAAGTAGCTGGCGGGACCAGCAGCAACGCGACGTCCCCCACCCCACGCCCGCTCCACACCCTTCGGGAGCGCGCACGGGAGCTCGAGCGTGGAACGGGTAACCGCTGGAATAACGGACTCGGCTCCCGGGGGCCCTAAGGCTTGGGGGACAGCCCGGGCCCGGAGGGCACCTGGCCTGCCCGCTCCCTCTCGAGCCCCGACGCAGCAGGTGGACAGAGCAGTTTCAAGAGGACCCAACGGACCCGACGTGGCATCAACACCCGCCGCCGGGGCTGACCTTCCTCCTCCCGAGGCCGAGAGAGGCGGCCCACGAACTCACTCCCCGCACCCCATCTCCAAACTCCGTGCCCGCCCGCTCACCCGGCCCCAACCGGTTCGGCCTGGCGGGGCGCCAAAGAAAGGGGTGCGGCCCAGGACCCCCCGCCCTGGGGGAAGGAGCGAGGACTCCGGCTCCTCGCCCCAGCCGGAGCGCAAAGGGCAGCGAGAGAGTGGCCTACTGCCCACGCACCTGTCTTGCGGGACCGTTCCCGGCAGTGGCAGCTTGTATGTTCGAGTCGCTGCCACTTGGTCCCCGCGTCTCCCTAGACCAACACCGCCCGCAGCAGCCGGGCAGCGACTGCTCACCGCGCATGCGTGTGCGGCGGCGGCGGGAGGAGGCGGCGGCGGCCGGAGGCGCGAGCCGAGCGCTCAACGGCCCCGGACTGCGCGGCGGGCGCCCCGGCTCGGAGGGCGCTGAAGCCTCAGGGGTCTCCGTTTCGCCGGCCCCAGGGGACGTGGACGCGGCTCCTGGGTCGGCAGGCGAGGAACCCCTGGTTGTTAGTCCTGCGACTCTTCCCTCCCGCGGAGCGCCTGCCCACTCTGCGACCCGTAGGGTTCTGCCCCCGGGCGCGTATAACTGGGTCTGGAATTCCTTGTAAATCGGGTTTTTGAACGGCGTCCTGTTAGTGCCCCAGGCTTTTCCTAGAGTTCCGTGGGTGATGAGAAGTCGCCGTGGTCAGCAGGAAGACTTCCTATTTCGTGTTTGTGTGATACAGGTATATGAAATGTTAACATAAGTCATCATTATATGTTTCTTTGCAAAATACTCAAGAATTTTTCTCCTGAGACCTATTCATATTGTATGCTCTATTAACAAATTTCCTAGCAGAATTCTAACTTGACTCGTGGGCTCCTGGTATAAATTCCAGGTTGTGTGGTGTGTTATTTTCTTAGTGGCTTGGGACTCTGCTTCTCATGTTGTATTCAGAATGATCATAAATGATATATAGACCTGTGGCTTTCTGTTTGTGCTAGCATCAGGATTAGGTATTCATGTTATATCTACTCATTACAATAATTGGTAAAATTTTCAGTATTTCCCGTATTCTGAAACAACTTTAAAATATTGGGAATGCCTGCTTTCTAAAAGTTTACATGACTCTCCCTGGGCAGTGATCTAGGTCTGGTACATCTTTGTGCCTTTTGTTGTTATTTCTCACAACCTTTATTTCTATGAATACTGATTGGTTTAAGCTTCCTGTCTCTACTCACATCAATTTGGATAAACGGCATTTTCCTAAGAAATCATTCATTTTATCTAGCTTTTATTTTAAAGAAAGAAAACTACTATCAGCAAAACAAAAAACCAGCTCCTATGAACTTACTCATAATTCCTTGCCTTTGACTGGTTATTAATATCAACACACCATCTAAAAATGTATGCCAAGGTAATTAAGGGAAAAAAAAACATAAGAAGATGGTTTGCATGGGGAAATGCCTGCCCAGATTTAACTCCAGTTATTTGGTCATGATGGTTGCAGCTCTACGTAGAACTACACAAGAAACCCAACAATATTTTATACACCGAAGTTGGTAGAGAGTATCTCGTTCCCTTCTACCCACAAGTGTGGCCACAGTTATTATTACTACTATTAGTAGTAATAGTGCCATATGACTATTTACTTCAACAGTAAATAGTGCAGGTGTTAGTGGTTTATCTCAATACCTGAGAGACACTGGCAACAGAGAATTTCACTTATGTTTCAGTGTTTGCAGAGCTTCTATTGGGGGGGAGGGAAAGGGTGTTTAAGAAAAAAAATCACTAAATCTGGTCTGAATGTGGTTTCTACAAACTTACGGTTATATTGATTCAGAGGCTCTGACACATCATTTGCTTTCCTATGAAGAAAAAGTGATTTTTAAAAAGCAAAATCAGTGTGAATACTCTAAAACAAATCCCCAAACCAGACAATGAGCACTATTTGCTTTGCTGTACCCTAGCTGAGTGTCAGGGTCCCCCACACCCCCACTTCCTCCGGCCACAGGCCAGGGACTACCGGTGCTGAGATCCTCCAATGAGCATTTGGGAGCAGTTGGGATGGGGTCAGAAGCCAGGAGCATCTCTCCTGGGACATTAGGAACGTTTTCTAGAAATGCTTTGTGCTGACCTCCAAAACAATTATTCTGTAATCATTTCATTCAGGACAGCAGTATCATGCTGGATCTCCAAAGCTGTCTTTTAACTTCCTTTTTCCCTTCTAGCATCTGCCACTCTCAGATGCTTCTTTCTGAATGCCAAAGCAGCGTTCCCTCAGAATCATCTAAACTTCTGGTAACATTCAGTGATATGTCGGAGAGTGTCCTTTGATACTGGAGAGTGTTCCAGTTTACGGTCCAACCCTTCAGCTATCCTGTTTGAGTCTCGGGTGGTAGGCTAAGAAGTCAAAGTAAACACCATTTCAAAGAATGTTGCCATCTTTTTGAGAAATGCTGTACCTGGACCTAGCTTTAATTTTTCATATTAGTCTGGGATATGCTCTGGCAAATTTAATTTAAAAAATTCAAACTTTAAGTCCAACTTAATATTTTGTAACATACATACAATTACTTTTCTCTCCTCCCCCACCCACCAGCTTTGATGTACAACTTCTTTTCCTGTAAGAGAGAATGAAATGGACACATGCAGACAGTTCATCTTTCAGGTTCTCTTTATACATTGGTATGTGATACACTTCACACTGAGGCACATGTGTGAAATTTGGGCACTTAAGGATAATACAGCAGTATGAATTAATATTTTCATATTTGATGAAGGATAAAAAAGTTTATTATTTCTAAAAATAAACTAAAACTGAATAGAATAACAAGAAGAATAGATTTTAATAGACTCCTATAAGCAACTGATGGATCAAGCAGACAAACATTAGTCAGGACTGAAAAGACTTGAACAAGCAAATGTAAAAGCCTGATACAAAGGAGCCCTGTACCCCATAAACAGGAATATTTTAAGAAGACATTTTTAGGGCACAAAACTAACATTTGTAAGAACAAATGAATGCAACACATTTTAAAGTGGCTCCTTTAACATGCATGCAGGCTATACATGCTTTTCAACTTTGTATGAAATGTAAGTCAACAATTCTCAAATGTTATTACATAAAATTCTTTAAATAGCAATGTAATTAAACAAGCAATCAACAATAAAAGATGTCAAAACCAACATATTTTTAAAAACCCCACACACATTCCCAAATAACCCATAAGTTAAGAAGACAATAATAAGAGAAAGTATGAAGTCTTTAGAAATGACTATCAGAATATAGATATATCTCAAGATGTTTGGTAATCAGCTCAAATGGCATTTAGGGGTGAGTTCATAGTTTTAAATGCGTTTATTTAAAAGACCAGAAGATATTATGGGCTGTCAGACCCTTGCTTGTTTCAATTTGTGCTTTCTATTTCTTTAGATGTCTTAACAAAGTGGCCAAGAGCAAACGCCAGTTCACACAGAACCTGTCTGTGACAATGTCAAGTTTCTGAACTTTTAGCTATTTTTTGAGACTATAAGAGGGCATCACTGTTATAGAACAGCATCACTAAGTCAACAAAAGACATTTCTTAATTTATAAAAGCTTCCCTGACTCTACTGTCTTATATTAAATTATTACACTAAGGGTACAAACATTATAAATAAACATAGGGCACAAACATCATAAATAAACATTCTAATTTTTCTTGACATAAGAGGTAGTTTAATACTGTCAAGTCCACTAGTTTGTTCATTGCTTTCTTCTTTCCTATATAATTATATACTTTCATTATCACAATGTCTGAAGGATGCCATTAGAAAGTACGGTTTCTGAGGTTCCAAGGTATTACAGAGTTTTTCTTGTTATGGTGATTAGCTTCATATTTCCTGAAATTAAAATAATCGTAGGGATGCGATCAACATAGGGATGCACGTATTCTCTCACATGGAAGCAACCCAAGTGCCCACCAAGAAACAAGTGGATAAAAAAAGCGCCGGTACATACTTGTACTGGAATATTACACAGCCATAAAAAAGAATAACATTTTAGCATTTGCGACAGGACACGCATACCTAGAGGGTGTTATTTTAAGTGAAACAAGTCAGTCAGAGACAGAGAGATACTGATGGGTTTGCATGTGGGATCTCAACAACAATATAAATGAACAAACACGACAGAAACAGACTCATGGACACAGAGCACAGGCTGCCAGAGGGGAGGGGGTTTGAGGGACTGGGTGGAAAAAGTAAACAGATTAAAAAGTACAGATTGGCAGTTACAGAATGATCATGGGGGTGTGAAGCACAGCACAGGGAATACAGTCAATAATAATTGTGATAACCGTGTGTGGTGCCAGTGGGCACTGGAAACATCAGGGGACACTTTGTAAAGCATGGGACTGTCCAACCATTATGCTGTACACTGGACCCTAATACAAAATAATATTTAATGTAAATTGTGTAATCGGAAAAATTAAAAATTAAAAATAATAAATTCATAACATGTAGAAACAAAATATTCACAAAGATGTAAATATTTTCATGACAATTACTTGTTAATATTCTTTCCTTTTGATGCCACCTGCACCTATTAAGATAAGTTTACGCTGGCAAAAGATATAATTCTTAAAATGTACGAAATAATGTCGGTTTTCATTTCGAGGTGGTGGAAAAACGATTGAAAGCAGGCCTGGGGAGTCTGTGCTGTTGGACTGGCATCACAGCTGAACAAACTGCTGTGAATAAGATACAAATACTTTAAGCCTCCATTTTATTTTATTTTTATAATTTAAAATATAAATAAAGACTCAGGGTAGGAACATGAAAGCAATAATCTTTTAAAAGTAATATACGACAGAAAATGAGAGGCTAAATATAAAGTGAGAACTGGAGAAATTATGTTGTGAATATAATATTGGTGATACATTTCCTGTAAAATCAGTTTTGAATTTTTGGTCAAAAGGAAAAAGCAAAAACACAATGGGCCAACGGAATCCTGACAATTCTCTGGCAAGGACAATCTTTTTTCTAACTATTAATTCTAAGAGGAAATAGTCATATGTAACTTTACATGAAAAAGAGATGCATAAAACGTTAACAATTTTGAAAACAATTCAAATGTCTCATTATGTCATTCTTTAATACGAGTCAAGCGCCTGAACTTAACTGCTTCAGTTAAAGCCCTTCGATGGGAAGTACCCTTCTGCTCCAGCCTCGCCATCACCTCCCACAGTGCTTGTCAGATTTAGCAACCAGGCAAAACAGAAGTGCCACACATGCAAAAAAGTCATTACTCGACTGAAATGCAAAGTTAACTGGGAGTCCTTTATTTTATGTGGCAACCCTTCCTCCAACACATGGAAATACTTTGCCCTTCGCCCGGCACTGCAGGAAACGGAAAATGACTTCCCATGTAGGAGGGAGCACAAGCAAATTATACAAATTCCATTGTTGGTCAGCTAATGGAATTTTACAGCATTATATTTTACTTGAGTTTTCAGAAATTATTAATACTGAAATATTTTAGTTCTTTCTAAAAGAAATTTTGGAAAGTTTGTCATAGATGCAGAACATAAAGTGACAAAGAACATTCAAATTGAAAACAGGCAACATTTTTAAATTTCAGAAACTAAAAAAAATATCACTGAGATGAATTTTGTTTTATTAAGTTATTTTTGAACTGCAAGGTGGATGCATAGAGATAAGTTAAATTTTGTTCTGCTTAATAAGCTATGCTTTATCTTACACTTAAAAGGAATTCGTATGAGAAGTATAATATGAAATTTAAGTGGCTGGGGAACAAATTTTATGCAAAGGTTTTCTTAAAAGACTGAAAGGAGTAAATATTAAGGAAAATATAGTAACATAACTGTTGGTCCTGCTTAAAGGAAAAAGGATGACATTAATCTCTCTGAGGTCTTATAAATAAATCTTATTTTACTCAATAAAATTAAAAATTCTTAAGAACAAAAATGAACTACCCCAACTCTTAGTCCAAGGTGATGGCTGGCTGGCCCTCTCTGAAATGACAGTAAGTGAATAAAGGAAGTATAACTCCGAGCAACGTAAAGGAGGCAGGAGGCTCTCAGATTTGTGGGAGACGCAGATCTGACGGAGGACTAAGGGCTACGGAGAGGGGATGAGGCGTCTGTGAGTAGGCACATGGGGGCAGAGGGCAGCCACGGAGATGGCGGATTTGGGGGAAGATGGGAGCTAAGCTGGGGCGCGCCCTGGGGGATGAAATGGGAGTCTGTGTCGGGAGCACCCACAGCCCACACCTGCTGGCCAGGGCTCGATGGTCCCAGCAACGCGCACACACCTAGTCTTCCCGGAGCAAAGCTGGGTGGGTGTCTGCTATGACCAGAGTAGGCCGCGTGTGCACCTGTGCCCAGAACAACGCACTCTGCACTCTGCATGCGGGTGCCCCTTTACTCAAACCACTAGGGGGAAAAATAAAACAACACAAAATTCAAAACAATAGCAACCTAGCCTCTCATACAGGGGTGTCCAGCCTGCAGCCCACGGGCCGCATGCAGCCCAGGATGGCTGTGAATGTGGCCCAACACAAAATTGCAAATTTACTTAAAACATTATGAGATAGTTTTATAATTATGTGTCACAGCGGATTTAATGTGTGGCCCAAGACAACTGTTCTTCTTCCAGCGCTGTGCAGAGGTGCCAAAGGTTGGACACCCCTGTGAGTCTAAAGCAGAGTTTGCAAACCAACAAATTCGACCCATGTACCAAAACCTCCCAGGATGCCTCCTTCATCCCTTACCTTTCAACAAAGAAACACGAGGATACGTGAAGTGTGGTGGGCAGGGGAAGAGGAGAAAATTTACCCATATTGCCACCATTCAAAATTGACCAATATTAACATTTTCTATAAGCTCATTAAAATTCAGATAGCCACGAATCACTAAATACTCGAGAAAGCATGTAACATGACAGAGAAGGATAAAAAAATATAAGCATTTAGGAAAGTGAAATGTCAAGCCACAGCCAAGACCAGTGTTCAGACTGTGCACAGGAACACTGCAGTTTCAAAGTTAAAAAGGCCAACAGCCCAATTTTTAAAATTTGAATACACATTTCACAAGTATATATTCCATAAACATGTATTTCATTAAAATACATATTTTATTATTTATATATACATGAATGTGTATATATAAGATACTCCACATTATTGGTCATTAAAAATGCAAATTAAAATCATGATGAGATAGCCACACTTGCTTTTTCTAGAACTTTATACAAATAGAATCACACAGTATAGAGTCTTTTGCATCTGATGTTTTTTTCAGTTAGCATAATGTGCTAAAGATTCACCCATATTGTTATATTGATCTGATCAAACTCAGATTTATTGTCTCCAAATGCATTGTACATGCACATCTACAGGACGTGATAAAAAAGGAAAAGGAAATAATGACTGATTCTTCTAAAACAGAATGTTAGAGTATATCAGGAAGTTATTTGCACAAAATTTAAAAATAGAAGGATATAAAACAAAAACTAATATCTGATAATTTTCTTATATTAAAATTAATTTTTATACTTACCAGTTTATTATTGAAGGTTTAACTTTAAAAGAATAGGATATAATCTCTTATCCACTGTGAAGAAGGTTGAGAAATAATCCTTCTTAGGCAGTTTGTTCCAAGAATGATTCTGATCATTTTAAAAGATGTTAGAACTATGAAACTGCTAATAGTAGATATCCTGTTAGAAATTTAAAAAGTAATTTAAATATCACATATGACATATCATTAGTTTGTTGTGTATTCTTATCTTTTCTTCTTTTATAAGAAGAAAAAAGCTATGATTTGTAACATCAAAAAATTCATGATCAGACTTACCTGCTGCTTAATCTATTGTGAATTTACAAAGGTAAGGTTAAAGTAGCTTATCTGGCAAAAAACACGTATATATATCAGTGTAAGAAAAAACCCCATTCTAACAGCACCAACAAATAGAATGGCATAGACCAATCTCTGCATCATTGACACCTGTGTTTCACGTATTTTGATGGTGTGTACTTTTTGCATAAAGATTCATAACAGTTAAATTTCCATTATTCCAGACACCTGATTGTCTTGTTTAACACTTTTTATCTTGAGTTCCACCTTGCCTGATAGCTGGCAGGCCCTGTTCTAGAGAGTGCTGTGCGATGGGTGAACCCCCGGCGGCCTCGAAGAAAAGGAGGGAAGGAGGCAGGTAGTGAACAACGGAGGAAACGGCGGGAGGGTACAGATGTGCCTTCCCCTCACTTCAGCTGACAACGGGTTAAAGCAACCACCTGCTTTGTCGTGTGTGGAGATGTCAACAGTGTTTCACATACAGAAGAAATCTTAAGGATCATCTCACTGAAACTCCTCGTTTCATAAAAGGTGAAGGGAGTGGTAGTGTGGTATCACGTGCACAGGTGACCACACTGAGGACTAGTAGTTCTGACTCCCAAGTCTTTGCTTCTTTACCCCACCAAGAGGCTAAGTCGACTGTAAATAACACTGTTTCCAAAAATGGCAGCGAATTTACGAATGGCTGAAAACCAAACAATGCTGAATTTTTGTTCATCTAATAAACAGTGATCTGAAATAAGAATGAAAATACATTTGAATTCAATAATAATGAGGGCATTTTATTTTTGAAATATTCGTATATATTTTAATATATAAGAATATATTCTTATATATGTCTTAATATTCTTATATATTCTTATATAATTTTGAATATTCGAGAAATAATAAAATAATGAATTTTTTATTATGACTTTCAAAACACTCTTTTAGTCTCACTGTTTGAATTGCACGGCTGGAGACAGCGAGGCAGAGTCTGTGCGGACTGGACCTTTCTCACTGGGAGAGAGAACCCGGCTCTTCCACAGGCGGCTGGTCGCCGCGACGCACGGGTCTGGCAGGAGACGCGCTGCGCTGAAACCACCGTGTTTTCCAGTTTCCCTCGTGTTCTCATCACCCCTTTTCTAAGTGATACTTCACGAGTTCATGAAACACCGTTTCTTTCTCAAATTACATTTTAAAGCCTTACTTTTAAATATTGCTCTGTTCCAGGAAAGGATGACTGTATACCCACATGCTGGAAAAGAGAAGGTTTATACCGGATACGAATCTGCTTATTTCGTTCTGCACATTTCTCCTGGGGACAAAGGAAAATGACAACCTTTGGTTAAAACCCAAGTGCTCCTTTTTGCTGCATTCACTAATGGCAATTTTTTTTATGAGGTTAGTTTATGCCAGGGGTTTTATTTCCCTTGCTCCTTTACTTTTTGACATTTTAGTGGGTTTTTTTTTTCTGTTTGTTCACTGTTTTTTGTCCCCTTCTTCCCACTCTTCACTGCACTTCGGCCTCTCATTACTTCACTTACTACGTAGAAGTGTCAGTAAAATTTTACAATATTGAAAGTTAAAAAATTGATGCACTCTCCATATTTGGTTTGGTCAACAAACTTTAGGTAACTACATTCGACAGTTATTTTTCTAAAATACTTGGTATTTACAAAGTAAAGGCATACTCACAGGAGTTTCTCCTGGGTGGCACATCTTCACCTGAAAGATGTCCCCCAGTAGTAAGTCGATAGGTTTGTCTTTGTAGAACATTAAGAAAAAACGCACAAAGTCATTCAAGTCCTCAGATTTAAATAGCTTTCCTATGGAGAAAATGTAAACAAGTCCAAATAACTCGAGTATTTATACTACAGATCTTAACATAATAACCCTTGTAGACAGTTGTTCATTCTATTTGTATGAGGGAAAGGCAAAAATTTATTAAGGATTATGTTAAAAATACAATTAAAAATTTAAAAGAAGGTGCAGGGATTGGTCAGATAACATACATGAAGTACCCACGGACACGGACAATGGTGCAGGGATTGACTGGAAGTGGGGGCGGGCTGGATGGGGGGCAAAGGGGCAAGAAAATTTCTGAGACAATTGTAATAGCATAAACAGTAAGTCACTAATAAAGGGGGAAAATTAACATTAATAAAGTTGGAGGATAATAAAGCAAAATAATGTATCTGCTTACTTATTAAGAACTACCCCCTCCGGGGAGTGGGGTGTGAGGCAGGTTTAGAACAGTGCTCGCTTTCGGGAAGTGCCGGTGACTAAAGCATCAACCGCCCCACGAGAGTGAAGACCGTGTCAACAACATCAAAGGTGTGGGGGCTATACTCCTACTTCACTGTCCGGAAACTGTGATTTGTAATTGATTTTTGTAAATTTTATCAGCCCATCACATGCTTCATTTTTATTAATGACATTGTTATTTCAATATTTCCATCTCTGAGCATTGCTTTGTAAGAATGTTATTTTTCTTTTATACTTAGGATTCTTAAAATGTTGCTATATTTTAAAGTATGATTTCATGACATCCAATTACTTTTTTCTAATACATTGCACCTTTAATTTTAAAATGAAGTTGAAGTTACAAGACTCAGGGAAATGCTCACTTTAGAGGAACAGTGCAAAACACAGCTAACAAGTGTCGCAGGTTCGATTCCCAGTCAGGGTACATGCCTGGGTCGCAGGCCATGATCCCCAGCAACCGCACATTGATGTTTCTCTCTCTCTCTCTATCTCTATCTCCCTCCCTTCCCTCTCTAAAAGTAAATAAATAAAAATTTAAAAAAAAACAACACAGCTAACAATCCGACAAGCATGGAATCAGGATGGAAGCAAACTACAGATCCTCACTAGCACTGGAATCGATCTGGGTCACTTAGTCAAACACAACTAAATGCCATATAGTAACCAGAGCAAGTGATTTAATGATGTAAATATTTGCTTTCTTATTTACGTTTTCCTGATCTTCTGTGAGCATAATGTACTATAAAGTCCTATTTGGCAAGCCCACATTTTTGGTAAACACTGAGTAAAGGACTGTTATTATGATAGAAACAAATAAGTCCTCTGTAAAGTTAAGCTTTAAAGCGAGTTCAGCATCCCATATGGAGTGCCCTTCTCGATGTGCCCTGTGGGGATCAGAAAGTGAGTGTTCTCTGTCCTTCGCATGCCCGACTTTGCTGAGAAAGATACCAAGAATTTAAAGATTGCTAAGTAATGTTCCTCTGCAAGCGTCTCATCAGGTATTACTGTTACCTGTCATTTTTCCTGTTTTAACCAAAGCTGAGCAAAAACCTTCAGGGCCTTAAAATTGGATTCCATACCACTTTACAGCAAGTTTGGGAAAGAAAGTGGTCAGGTAGGTATACAAAGAACAGATGGATTTTACTAGCAGCCAGAGAAATGCTTCACGCTCCTCCCGGTGGCAAAGACAATTTCTGATGGCTGAAATGAAACGTCACCAAGCACCTGGGGAAGCCGGTGCTCGCCTGCATGTCCGGGCGTCTAAGCTGTACAGCCCATGGGCAAGGTGATCTGGCAGCACCTGGAGACCCAGCTACCTCTGCCCCGGGTGACCCCGCTCCAGGCAACATACGGGTCACTGCGTTGCTCTGTGGTGGCAGAGAGCTGCCAACCATGGGGGCCCACGCCTCTGGGGATGGGTGGGCCCGATGGGTTGTTATGTGGCACTTGCGCAGCAGTGAGGAGTGAACTCAACGCACGTCACCAAACACGGTGACGGTTTCAAGGTCTTGTTTTGAGGACAAAAATGTAAAGAACAGGAGTGGGTGTATCACATCACCACTTACGTAAATTTTAAATGCATATGTCAATCTGCTTACTGATATTGTCTATCCAGAAAAATTTTTGGTTTAAAAGTACATTTTCTGAAATTCAGATCCTTGAATTTGATTTTAATATTAAGGTGATTGTATCTTTGTAGCAATCATTCCATTCCTTTTCATTTAGTAACAAAGTCATGTAAGTTCTTAAGAGCTTTTAAGGTTAATGTGTGCTAAGAAGGTGGAACCCACAGAATAGATCCATTGCTTACCTATGAATCCAAGAACTGAAAACTCAATATAAAACCAATTATCTGAAGTGAGAGAATGTACAAAATCTGTGATTTTTGTAAAGTACATCTTTTTAGCTATGATATCATCTTCTAGCTGGATAAAAAAAACAACAAAAAGAAGGCATTAGTACCTTTGATGTATCCATTGAAAAAGTTATATTAGCTTGAAAGTTGAAAATACTTTCAATAGGTTACACTGAATAATGTTTTTATGAAGTAATTAATAATTGTATTTTTTTAGTTCAGTTCCCTGAGGATATTTACTGTTTGTCTATTTTCATTTTCTGATTCTAAGAAAAGAGATTCTTTCTTTCTTTCCTAAATGCTAACATGAAACATTCACTCTAAACCCTCTTTGGAGAACTCTATGCACCTGAGTGCATTTTCATCCTCACAGATACTTCAGTGTCTAGTTTAAGACCGACTGGCTTCACGCTGAGATGGCAGGTGCTGTATTCCGCCACCAGATGTTGCAGTTGTCAAGGAGGGGACGTGAGGGAATTTTCCTCCACAGCCAGCTGGTTGGGGGGGGGGTGCTAATAAGCCCCCAGACAGTTTTCCATGAGGGGAGCAGGAATAGATTTTTCCTTTCTGATTTAATGCATACTCGGCATCACCGACAGACTCTGAGGGTCTCCTAAACGAGTTAGTGAAGGAATGCCAAAGCCCTCAGGCACTTTACCAGAGCACAAATAGAATCGTGTTTGTCAGAATACACTGGCTGGTTCTCACGTTTCAATTTCATTGTCACTAACTAGGAATCAGGAAGGATTCTTTCTTCTTTCTTTTTTTATTGTTGTTCGAGTACAGTTGTCTCCATTTTCCTCCCACCACTTCCTCCGACCCCCAGCCATCCCCACCTCCCACCCTCGATCCTACCCCCAGGGCTTTGTCCGTGTGTCCTTTTTACATGTCTGATTTTCTTCCAGTGAAAGAGAAGACGTTGCTTCCGGCCTTTTCCTAACCCTGTCGGTTGTCCAGTGATACTCCTCACACTCTCATCGCAGCTGCACAGCGTCTCACGAAGTGAGCGTACACTTGCTGCTGGGAAACGTTACTTAACGATGTGCAGGAACTTAGAGGGGACGAACGCTACACAACTGATTTATTTCATAAATACAGCGTAGTCACTGTAGAACTATGTTACTCTTAACACATGGGGTCAATGTAGGGTAGCAGTGAAAAACACATACATTGTCTGACATTTAATAAGTTCTCAAATTGCATTTATTTTACCCAGTAAACTTGTGGGCAAAGAAATGTAGATGGTAACATTTCTCTTTTTTTTTTTCTGATTTGGTAAATTCTTTTCAGTTTGCTTCAGGTAGTTTCTTCCATAATAGTGACTCCAGCAAGAGGACTAATATATGATCGATCTTATGTTTCCTTTTAGTATTTTAATCTAGTGAGTACTTTCTATTTTCTGAGTACAAAGGAAGGTGGAAGAATACATAAGGAAGGAAGGAAGGACTCAAAGGAGGGAGAACACAATATTTCCACTTTAAATTCCATTTATACAAGGTCATACCTGTAAATAATACATGGCCTTGGGTTGGGCATACAGCATCAAAAAACAAAAATCCAATACTTGTTTGATGCGCCAACTAAAGGTAAATAATAAAATCTGTTAAGATTTATTACGCTGATTTAATTTTCACTTATAAGCACATTTCCGTGATTTAAAACAAACTATTTTTACACTTTGCTACTAAAGAGCACTATCTACATTAAATAAAATTGTAGATGTTATCCTGAAAAGCTACACTCACAAGTTTCCTGCCTTTATTCAGTGGACAATGTCTGCCATTGCTAAACTAGGATAAACATAATCTATTTACTTTAAATTTAGGTTTGTGAAGTTTTGATCTATATAACCAAGTTAACATTCTTTCTTAGGTCTTGTTAGATGAAAGTGTAAAGAAACCCTATTCTAGTGTAACGCTAAGCCGGACACCAGGCCGGGTCCTGAAGGTACAGAGACCAGTACACAGTGCAGCTCTTGCTCTTCTGGGTCACATAACCTAGCAAGGAGGATAGAGAAATAATAAAATTAGGACAGCGACACAGGAGCTATGTGGAGATACTGCCCATGACGGACTACAATAAGATGGGGAGGGTGGAGCAGAGGCAGTCGAGCGTTTAGTGTTGAGGGCAGTCCTGCAGAGGCGCGGGACAGGTGAGACAGCAGCCCCCGAGATTCAGGGCACAGGGAGCCAACGGGAGAGAAACTACCGGTGGGAAGGCTGGCAGAGCCCAGATCAGCCAGGATGTTTTGCAACACGCAGGAAACTCTGGACTTGATCTCACATGAAAAGATTCTGCTGCCTACAGTGTGGAAGGTGAACTGGAGGGTAGGCTAGGCCAGAGTTGGGGAAAGCAAACAGACCTGGCATGACCTGGACTAAGTGAAGGCGGAGAAAAGTGGATCGGAGTGATGATGCGGAGAGAGATTCCAAACGAGAAACGATGGCAGACGTAAAGGGCAGACGGGAAAGCAAGGGTGAAGAGTGACTCCCAGCATTCTGGCTCTAAACACTGGGGGTGGTGTGGGCTATTAATTAAAAAGCAAAAGGAAACCCTGAAGAGATTTCCAGATTCTGACATACTACTTATTATTTGTAAGCAAAAAGAGCTAGTAAGTGTCATGGGATAAGATCTTTTTCTGAATTCAGATATGTCATTTGCTCTATTAAGTTTTGAGGAACCAAATTATTATATTTCTTTTATATCTACCACATGTATAACCAAACAATAATAATCCTCCACATATATAGGATTATTATATGTACAGAGATATATATTATTATATATAAAGATATATCTTTAAAATTTTCAAAATTCTTGCATAAATATTACCATATTTTATTCTTTTTAAAAAAGATTTCATTTACTAATTTTTAGAGAGGGGGGAAGGGAAGGAGAAAGAGAGGGAGAAAAACATCAGTGTGTGGTTGACTCTTGTGCACCCCCTACTGGGGACCTGGCCAGCAACCCAGGCATGTGCCAGGGAATTGAACTGGTAACTCTTTGGTTCAGAGGCTGGCACTCAAGCCACTGAGCCACACCAGCCAGGGCTATCATATTTTATTCTTACAATGACTTTTCTGAATATGTAAGGTATATTTTCTTACATACACTGGAAAGTTGAGGAAGCAAAGAAAAAAAAAAGGGCTAAATTACCTGCCTAGGATGATCAGAAAACAGAAAAACTGGGTCTAGAATCTAGGTGTAACGATTTATAATGCTAGGCTTTTTCCCCTTCATTATGCTTTTGCTAATCACTGTCTGTAAATGTGAACGTAGATAACCAGTGGCGTGCTGGTGGTGTTTAACACCTGTCTCTCTGCGGAGGAGTGGGGGTGAGCCCTGACTTGTAGCTGTTGCCCATTTCCCTGGTGTAAAGGCTCCTGACTTCATGTTACCAACTGATGTCACTGAGCACAGAGCTGGGAAGTCATGCACACAGTCAGCCCTTGCAAGCCAGTAGGGCTGTGTTTGAAATAACGATCTGTTAGATGCTGACTCCAGCATTTCGTCAAACGGGGTTACTTCAGGATACAAGTTTCTAAATGTCATACCTCTCGAATGTTTGTGAGTCCCCAGGTGAGTGCTTGGCATGTAACACGTCTGGATAAAAAAACTGAGGTATTGAAATGACCTCTAAGGATCCAGACTTCAGTTGCTTTTTGAATCTGTAAATAGAAGTAAGTGGAGGCTTGTAATTGAATATTTGATATACTGAAAATAACAAAAAATTAAAATACATAAATCCCACATTCCGGGGCGCATGTATATTTCCAAGCATCCAGCATCCTCCCTTTGGGGCCTCTCTACCTTCTCAGGCAATTCTACTTGCCAGACATCCCCTTTCTCCCTGCATCTGCCTGAAGAATATCTCCTTCCACCCTTCGACTTAGCTCAATTGTTGCCTTTTCCGGAAAGTCCTCCTTGAGAACTGCAGGTAAAGTGAATTACGTCCTACTCTACATGTTCTCATATTGCCCGTCCCAACCGCCACCCTAGCACTAGGCTCCTTGTGATTTGGTTTTTGCCGGTTTCATCACCCACTGGAACGGGAAGATTTGGAGGGCTGGGTTCATTCCACAGTGCCTTGCCTGACAAATGGCTTCATATTGGTTCACCAGTACTCATGTCTGCTGGGCTGCACACAGCAGGAGGCTGTGAGCAGACGCAGTGAGAGTAACTTTGTCCAGTAAGGAACCCAAGATGTTTTCAAGATAAGCTAGTAGACTTCTCACAGAGACAATGGATTTCATGGAGAAAAGATATTATAACAATAATGACATGAAAAATATGTATTTTTTCAAAGTGAAAATTTACTTTATTGCTAGTGTAAAGTCCTTAAGACTTTGCAGTTTTTCCCATGGAAAAATATGGACTTTAATGGGTAGATAACCTACAAAATTGGAGAAATTACACAGTGTACTTCCTCACAGCTTAGATAGAACTCCAGGCTCTTTCTGTGCTGATGCACAATGAAACAAATGTGATTGCTAATAAAATAACTGGACAGAAAGAACGGTATAGAAGAAATTTTAAAACTATTTTAAAAATATATCCAATGGTACTTACTTTTTTGTAATCATGTCAACAACAGACTTTAAATAATCTTCATTACTCTAAACAAAGAGGAAAATATTTTACTGAAATTAAGCACCCCTCATACTTTTATTAATTCACGTTTGCTACACGTAAATCTGAATTCTGGGTGGAATGTCATCACGTCTTAATCATTTCCAGTGTTTCACTTTCCGTGAAGAATTTTAAAAGCCCGTGTGTCTGAAAGGTCTGCGGGAAATCACTTCACGCGCCCTTTGTCCCAGTGTGGAACGTCGCTCTGTGTTATTTCCACCTCAAACTCGGTGGCTACAGAAGCCATGCACCTGAAACAGCTTTGCCCTAAAAACTGGATGGTTATTTCAAAGAACGGCTTTCTGAAGGCGTCTTCATTTCATGAGTATTATATGACAGCGAGCTGCTTTCAAAATCACCGCACACTTTCCCAGACAGTATCGCCCAGCTTAACTCCCAAATGTTCCTCCACCAACAAGCTTCGTGTATTTACTCTTTATTGAAAACTGTGCTTAGCTGAGATGACACATTCAGTTGTAAGTAGCCTTCAGTGGTTTATTCTTGTAGATGATTTTTTTTTTTAGGCAGCCAATGGCATTGACAAGATGCAGCCTCAGGGCCCACACGCATTCCCAACATAAAGCTCTGGAAATATTTCTCATAGTGACAGCTGTAGTGTTACAATTGCCTTTTGGGGAGTTCTCAAAGGCAATTCTGAGTGGATACAGTTAGGCTGTTCGTTAAAAATATCAGGCATGGTACAAATTATTATAGTACCTAAGGTTCTTAAGACGGCCATAAATTAAATCACCAGTTATTTGCTACATGCTGAAATATATTATACTTTTAAAAAGTATTAAAGTTATACTTCTTAAGCATTCCATATTCCATTTTAAAATTTGAACCCCATACTTTATTATTGGTTTAAATCAACGATTTTCAGCCAGTGTGCCACAGAAGGCTTTAAAACACACAATACCTGACTGTTCAGTCAGGGGCACTGTGCACGGACCTCTTGTCTCTTTGATTGTCAAATAAAAAGTGACAACAGGCAACACAACAATAGCCATGTGGTGCGAAGGAATCAAAATTATACCTATTTTTTGTCAGATTGGCAAAAAAATACATTTTTCGTGTGTCATAGAACTTTGTGATTAGTTGATGTGAGCCGTGAGATGAAAAGGTGGAGAATCGCTGGTCTAAACACTCCAGGCGGATGTGCACCGTGCCAGCAGCAAACAGAGGCTGAACCAGGCAACACAGAAAAAAGTGATGCAGGTTTTGGAGACGAAGTACATGCTTCTAATATTAAGAAATTAAACTTGGAGAGAAGAATTATCAATATTTAATCTTCTACTTATATTTTCCCACTTAGTTCTTCTGTTGCTTGTTTTGTTTAGAGTTTTTCTGCATTCAAAGACATGTTTATTATAAAAATTCAAGTAATAGAGAAAAGAATAAAGGACAACACAGATCCTTTTAACTCTCAACATCCAGAGATAACCATTACTGCATGTTATATTTTTTTATAATATAAGCTTATATTTATATGTAGTTTTTATATACTAATATTTAAATGTAAACCATTATTTATATCATTCCAAGATTTGCTCATTCTCTTTTCTTCTTCATACATTTCATCTATCTGTATTATCTTCCTTCCTTCCTGCTTTCTATCACATTTTGCACAGCTAATATGTTAAAAACAATGTTGTAACTTTTTTTACTCAAAAATATGTTTTGGACATTGTGTTATGTCAGTGGATATTCATTCTTTCAATGGTTACAGATCATTGTAATGTAGACATGAATGTAGACATATTCAGTCACTTACTGGTAGATATTTTGGTTATTTCCAATATTATGATTTTATAGCACTGAAAATCCTTGCTTGAAATAATTATGTATGGAACACTTACTATGTACCACACATCATTGTAAAGATTTTAAATATGTAAGCTAACTTAATTGCCGGAACAACCCTATGACCAAGGTGACGTCACCCTCACCATTTCGCAGATAAGAAGAGTGAAGTGCACAGAGGGAACTCGCTCAGGTCCGCCAGCCGGGGGGTGAGGAGACGGGCATTGGGACTCGGGCAGTTTAGGTCCAGAGTCTGCACTCTGACCTTCCATACCGGTCTGTCGTATTCATTTTTAAATTCTTGCCTGATTGTCTCCTTAGAATAACTTCCCAGAATCGTGATTTCTGAGACAAAGGACAGACACATTTTAGATCTGATGTATGTTGCCCTCTTCCCTCCAAAAGGTGTGCAGTGTCAGACTTTATCTAATACTCTATCAGTTTACATGGCACTGGAGGCAAGAGAGAAAACTTGGGGAGTCCAATAGAGAGATGCAGATTTGTATCTGCTCTATTAATTACTAGGCCAAGTACTTTCTTAAATTCCTTTCTACATTTGTAAAATCAGGATAGTGCTACTTCTTTTACAGGGATGCAATGCAGGTTATACATGATATATATAAAAATTGTCTACAATCCTTCAGATATAGGAAGAAGTCCCTCAATTAATAGTAGTTATTATTTAATACAAATTATCTCTTGATTCCTATACCAATCTTTTACTGGGCAGGTTTTATTACCATAGCATAAATTTTAATGTTCTGTTTGTAAATGTAATTTCTGTGCCATATAATATGCAGGGCTCCCAGATCCATATTTAACAATGCAATCTTACTTCTCCACACGGGAACATGGTATTTAAACAAACTTTTTAGATTGACATATTTAATTCCTTGGTGGTGTCAAAAAAAGTACTAATACATTGTCTACTATCCAAAAAAAGGCACCTGTGAATTACTTTTTGAAATTTAAGGACAGAATCTGAAATGAAACAGTGGTCAGTATGGAGACCGCGGGCTGGGCGTAAGGAGAGCCAGTGACCCTTCCCACTTACATCTGCAACAGACACAATCACCACGGAGTCCTGCGCCTCCTCATGGGTCATCCTGGAGACGAGCGAGGTCAGCGTTTGCTTCAGATAACCGTGATCTTCTCTCTTAATGGTGGGAACACCCAGCGCAAAGGATACTGCAGACCCCCAAGCATGGAATCGCCATTTCAAGCCATGGAGGAAAATACAAGTTAGTGTTAATATCTATGCTTACTTCTATGCTTGGGTAGTTATGTGGTCATAAAAATGGTGCCTAAAACTGTTTTATGAAAGTTATCCAAACCACTGTTAGCTTACATATTTCATTTTCTGTCTAAAAGAAATTCCAGTTTGCAATGAATGGTTAGGAAATGCATTAAATAGACACCCAGATGTTCTCATGGTGGAGAATTTCAGTGTAGTGAAAAAGAAACTAAACATTCTGCATTTATTATAGTGTTCCTCTAACTGGGTGTGAACACACATTGGCTGATTCTCTCCTCTTATTCCTAAGGAGACACTAGGACCCAAAATAGGAAAAATACTATGAAATAATTTCATGTGCAAAAAATCCATGAAGCAATTTCCAAATGCTTTGATGAAATAAATTCATGTCCCTAAGTGACTTTTATTGCCCGATAATGACGGAAGCACTGGGAGAACAGAGCTGGGTCATCCTAGATAGGTTTCGAGGTTCTATGTCCAAAGCAGCCATAGACAAGTAAGCGATGAATATAGCTACATACGGTCCAGCAAAATCCAATTGAAAACAGGCAGATTCAGCCTGGGGGCTGTAGTTGGCTGACCCCTGGCCCAGAGGGTCACAGTCATTGGAATCAATGACATTTGTGAGAAAGTTAAGTTTCTGCGAGTTGGCTTAATGTCCTTCTAACTCAGATGTTTTTTCTCTTCTTCTGTACCTGGTGAGCTGGAACTCATCCTTCAAGGTTTAGCTTAATCATCCCTTCTGCAAAGTTTTTGCAGACCTTCATTGTCACAAAGATGGGGAAATTAGAAGATAACCAGATGAGTGTAGATTTATCAAAACCAAGGGAGAAAAGAGCTACCAAGCACTGAGCAGATGCTTAACATACGCTTGGCTTATACTGACTGACTTTCGAAGCATCTGCATTAGAGTTGAATTTGAATTCAAGTCTCCAAATATGTATTAAACTGTCTTTTCTGCCAGACAATATACTGATTTCCGGTGGCCCAAGTGAGTGCAGGCAAGGCTGGTGATCTAAATATCAAACTGGGTATCATTTTAACAGCTCACCTTTTAAAACTTAAAAGCATGTCCCCAAAGATCAAAACATCTGCATTTGATTTTCCGATTTTAATTTTCTTACTTACCGCCTGTTTTCTCTTTGCTGATGATTACATCAGGATAAATTCTGCCTACTTTCCTTAGATGAGGGAGAAAGGACTTCAGGACTTCAAATGTATTCGGCACCGCTTCGTTCTCATCAAACGTATTCACCTCCTTCTCAACTGAAAGGGAGAAAAAATAGGGCTTCTGAGTTCATGACTATAATGATTTCCCCCCCTCTGGCACAATTTTTTAAAAAGGAGGGTTAAGAAATTAATTCACAGGTTAACTTAATATTTATACATAAGGGGAATACTGTTAAATGTAAATTACCAAAGTCGTAAGACCACAAAATATAGCTCAGAAATTGATTCATATTTATTTAAAAAGTAATATAGCAGGTCTTCCAATAACATCATGTCATTCAGTGTCCTCCGTTAACATTGATTAGACGCTGTAGGAACTTAACTGTTGTTTATATCAATTGCCATATGGTGAAGTTGGTTTCTTTATGTATCATTTACCTTGAAGTTGCAGAACCTATCAATGACGTTAAGTGAGGACTTCCTGTATTTAAGTCCAGCACTATGAGCTACACAACCAGAGGCTAATAGAACTGTCAGTTCCAAATAACGTATAACTGAAACATACTATAAAGAAGCACAACTGAAAATATTTCCAAATCACACATCCATCTGTTTTGCTACTTTAATATCATGTCATTGAAGTTTGTATCCTTATAATTATGTAGCTCCTTCAATATTTAGTGACTCCATTCATACCATGCATTTGAATTTGCCTCTACAATTTTGAAAAAAAAAAAGAACAAAGTTGGAGGACTCATACTATACAACTTTATTTCATAACACATGGTATGTTAATAAGGGCAGTGTGGTATTACAGAAGAAAACAGATACACAGCTCAATGGAACAGAATAGAGAGTCCAGAAACAGATCCACACAAGTATGGTAGATTGATTTTTTTTAAGGTGGAAAGGCAATTCAATGCAGAAAGGACAGCTTTTTGACAAATGGTGCTAGGACACTTGGACATCCACAGAAAAAAGGAGGAACCTTAACCTATACTTCATACTATTTATAAAAATCAACTCAAAGACTTCGTAGACTAAAAATGTAAACCATAAAAATAAAAAAAACACATAAAAGAAAATCCTCATGACTCTTAAGAGTTCTTAGATACAACATTAAATGCACGATACATACAGAAAGTGATACACTGGACTTCATCAAAATTTAAACTGTTTGCTTTTTGAAGGATGACACCAATAAGACAAGCCACAGACTGAGAAAATATTTCTAAATCACATATCTATCTGACATATATCCAGGATATATAAAAAACTCTCAGAACTCCACAACATAAAATCAAACCACCCAATTAAAAATTGGACAAAAGATTTGACCAGACATTCCACAAAGAGGATATATGAACGGAAAATAAGCACGTAAAAATGTTCAGCATCATCGCACCAGAGAAACGCACCCCAGAACTATGCGACACCAGGATACTGGAATGGCTGGCATAAATGGGAGGGACTGGGCCTCTCCTACAACTGCTACAGGAAGTGCCAAATGGTACAGCCAACCGGAAAACAGTGTGGTGGTTTTTTATAAAGTTAAACATAAACATACCCAGTGCCCATGAATTCTAGATATCTATCCTAAAGAAATGAAAATTCAAACAAAAAAAAACCTGCACATGAGTGCTCATAGCAACAGGTATTTGTAATCATGCACCAAAAAACACTGGAAATGCAAACAATTCAAATGTCCCTCAGTTGACGAAGAAAAAAAACCTACCCATTGTACGTCCATACAGTGGAATGCCAATCAGCAATAAACAAGTAATAAACAACTGCTCACACCACTTGGAAGAACCTGCACTGAGTGGAAGAAGCTGGTCTCAAAGGGTCACACAATGTGTGATTCCACGGGTGTGGCACGCAGGAAAATGGAGAACTGTGGGAAGAGAGGGTTCATCGGTGGTTTCCAAGGGTTGAGCGGGGGGAGTATCTGACTACAGCAGGGAGCACACAGCAGGGCTTTCATTCTGAAGAAAAGGGGAACCACCGAAGGTTGATTTACCAGACAGTACAGCCCTCACTTGGCTACAGTGAGGATAGGCAGGTGGGAATGAGACTGCAGAGAGAGAAAAAATAGCAGTGTGTCAGCAATCATCCGGATGAAGCATGAAGGTGGCCTGACTAGGGTGGCAGAGATGGTGCAGGGAAAACATGGACAGATTTGTGAGATAAATAGATTACCAATCAACGGCGCTGCTTACTGACTTGATGTGGAAGTATGCAGGAGGGAGAGGGAGGAGTCAGAGACGATGCTCTGGTTTCTGGCTGCATCTGTTGGGTGGACTGTGGGGGGTGGTGCAATTCACAGAGATGGAAAGCACAGGAAAGACCATCCTCTTGGTGGAGATGAGAGGCAAGGTACCAGTGATGTCGCTTACCTGATTTTTCCGTGTCCGACAATAAAAGAATGAGTACCGATTTGATTATATTTATTGGGGAGAAATGTTCTAAAGTCAGAAAGCATAAAATTTAAGTTTCCAAACACAAAATATAAAAGAAACAAACCACCATGCACAAAAACAGAAGCAACACAAACCGAAGTTCACTGATACATTTTCTCTCTGTCTGATGTTGTTGTTTATTTTATTTAAGGCTTCCATCAGCTCCTGGCGATTTCGTTGAGTTTTGTTTTTTAAATGTAGAATATTTTCCTTAAACTCCAAAATATGGTTTCTACAATTAGTTAATTGATTACCTGCAAAGAAAATGTATATGTTTATACATGTAGCAATGGTATCATACAATTTTCATAGCATATAACAAAATATAAAATAAATGCTTCAATATAGCTATATATCTAGCACTAAATGTGTGCATGCATTTCTATATAGTGCTATATACAACAAGAATTATTTTCTGGAGGACGGGTCCCTTGTAGTACAGGCTTCCCCTGCTAGGTGAGTGTTCTAGGAACCCATCTGTGTCTGTACCAGCTGGCATTGTTGTGAGAGGCTGCATTCAGCTTCAGTGAATATTTTTTCTTGAAGACTTTTAACACGTTTGCGTGATTAAAAGTGATGGGTGATCACCTGATGGGCGATTTACGAGTGTGCCTGCCCACACCTTGCTGAGTGTTCAGCAGTTTTTGAACAAAAACAGCATGACCTGCATGGCCCACTGTCCCCATTCACTTGACTCTCCCCCAGCAACTGTTTTTTGTTTCCCTGGATGAAACAAAAAACAGCAGAAGCACTAAAAGGCAGCAAAACCAACAAGTTCAAAAACTGTTTTGAGCAGTGAGAAAAAAGTCTCAATAGGTGTATTGCATCAAATGGAGAGTACTTTGAAGGTGACTGAAGTTTAAACATATAAGAATAAATACCTAATTTTTTAGAAATAAATTCTGGTTTTTTGCCTTCCCCCTTCTATGCCTGTACATAAAAGATTTGAAAAAAATGAAGTGTTAAAAACATTAACATCTGGCCCTGGCTGGCATAGCTCAGTGGATTGAATGCGGGCTGCGAACCAAAGTGTTGCAGGTTCGATTCCCAGCCAGGGTACATGCCTGGGTTGCAGGCCATGACCCCTAGCAACCGCACATTGATGTTTCTCTCTCTCTCTCTCCCTCCCTTCACTCTTTAAAAATAAATAAATAAATAAACAAATTAATTAATTAAAAAGATGTTCTCCCTTTAAAAAAAAACATTAACATCTGGAAGGAGCATGTATCGGATTTGTAATTAGAGGGAAAAAAACAGCTGAACCAGAAAATTCACTTCTAAGAATTTATCTAAAGAAAATGACCAGAAATATGCACAGATTTGGCTGAGGACATCCCACATAGGCAGCATTATTTATCATCATAAGAAACTTGGAAACAGCCTAACTACCTAACAGCAGAAATATGTTAAATAAATTACAGAATATCCTTTTAATAGTTCTGGTAGCTCTGACATTAAATCACATATAACTGAACCTCAGTTTTGTCACTTAACACTTGTGTGGCTTGGGCAAACCATTTAATTATTGTTAGTCTCTGATCCTTCACGTGTAAATGGATATATAAGAATCCCTGCCTCAGAGTTGGTGTGAAGTTGTAATTTGATAATGCATGCAAACCACGTGGCAAAGCACATTAAAAATGCTTTGCCAAGTGTCTAGTAGATATTATGTGTTGATGGACTATTCTTTACTCATTTACCAATGGAATACTATGCAGCTATAAAAATATTTAATGTTGTAAAAGCAATTTTGATGCTTATGAGGCTTCCCATACAAGGCAAATACTTGGCATGTGACTTTAATTTCAAGGAATAGATTAGAGCTGGTATTATAGATTTGAGAGCAAAGGTCTTGAGATACACTTATACAATGGAGCAAGACAATGCAGTGATAGAATACTGCCCCAGCCTTCCTTGGGACATTCACTTCATCCCTGCCTTGGCTCACACCAGCCTTAGCCCAGGGCAGAGGGTTCACTGTTTGGAATCCAGCAGGGGGCCATTATTGAATAAATTGGACTTGCCAGCACAGACACTGATTTAAGGGATTCTAAAACAGAACCATGCTTCAGCAAAAGAACTGTAACTACCCCCAGACAGATCTTGAATATCCACATAGTGGATACTACTTGGGAATGCTCACACATGTAAACAGGGATGTAGCTAAGCCAGTATAACCTCATGTTTCTGGGGTTCCCCGGGTAATATTCTCTTTGCAAAATGGATCATGTGTTTGGAGGTGATATATCACGGGTGATGCAACATAATGTAAGTCAGTCCCTAGGGGATCAATTTGGCAAACATGAAAAGGAAGCCTTTCCTCTAGAGGAAGTGTTTGCAGAAATACATTTCTTACCTGATAATTCAATTCATCAATATTCTTCTAAAAATATTTATATTACTTGCATATTCATTCAGGTATTTTGTGAGAATAAAATGTTACAAAACTCTCTTGCAAAGTTTGAAATCAACAATCACTCGATGTTCTGAGTCACCTCTGGGAAGTCGTGAAAACAAACACCAGGCCACATGTGCAGTGGGCCACCGTGACCCCCCCCAACCATGAGCGAGGTGGGGTGCTGAGCACCCCGCCCTTCGCTTCTCTCCGCAGGGGCCAGGAGCAGACAACCCACATCTGTGAGTTTAGCTTTCCTACTGGCCACATGACGAAGGGTAAGAGAAACAAGTGAAAGTAATTACAGATAATAGAGTTAATCCAATATATCTGAAATGTATTTTCAATATGCAATCAACATAAAGAGGGATTAATGGCTTCGCATTTTTTGTACTATTTTAAAGCCGGTGTGTATTTTACAGTCACGGTGCAGCTTAACTCAGAGGTTAAATGTTAATGGTTGGAGTAAAATGTAGTCCTACCCAAACAATAACATTCAGATAAACTTAAAATGTAAGTCAGATGAAAGTTCGGTTCCTCGGAGGCACACACTGCGCTGCGAGCGCTCCGCGCCGCCCCCCGCACCGGGAGAGGAGCTGCCGCGCTGCCCAGCGCGGGTCTACGACGCCCGCCCTGAGCTCATTAGAAATGCAGCATCTGCAGCATCTCCGGCCTCCGCCCAGAACTACTGACTCAGAACCCGCACTTTAGTGAGACTCCCAGGAGACTGGTGTGCACGTTAAAATTCGAGAAGCACTGTTACAAACCTCTAGTTGTTTGTCTTTCTCATCGCCGACTTTACTGCACAGTTCAGGTCCTTATTGCCTCTCGTTGTACTACCATTATAACTGCATGTTAATTGGCCTCTCACCTCTCTAACCCACAACTGATCTGGAAACTCTGCTCAAAGACTGGAAGAGGTCCCCTAAATGCTAGCTGGATAAAGTCCAAATGTCTTGTCTTAGTACACAAGGTCCTGTTCAGCGTGGCCATGACCTAACTTTTCCACCTGCTTTCATTCACCACACACCGCCAGGAAAGAGAAGCATGGTGAGATACTCAGTCCTCCCTCCACGTGGTACTTATCAGGTGCCACTCACTCTGCTGTGTAAGCAAAACACCGATAAAGTCAGGTTCCTGCTCTAAGTTAACTAACAGTCAGGCTCGCAAGGGATGGGGGAAAGGAGCATAGACTTGAACAACTAGGAATATTGGAATTGTCAAGACGGAATTATCCTCAAAGCACACAGGCAAAGGGAGGCAGGAATGAAGAAGAGCCCCATATCTGGGTTAGTTTATTAGCAGAATCCGTAAGTTTTAAATTCAAAATTCAACTCTATGAATGCTGAAATGGTAAGGGTGCACTAGAGGTGAAACCAAAGTTAAATGTGAATGGTAGATGTAAACACTTCTTTAGTATCAATACATCCCATTCAACTATTATACTAAAAACGGATTCATTGTTCATGTGAAATTCAAATTTAACTGGGAAACCTCTATTCTTATTTGCTAAATTGGCAGCCCTACGGACAACAATCAATGAAGGCCGTGGCGTGTCTCAAAGTGGTGCTGCAAGCTTCAGGGTCCAGCTGAGAAAGTCGGGATGCCAAACCAGCGCTCTAGATTGTGGATTACGACTCTCATCTCATCCCTTTTCTGTTTCGCAGAAAACACCCGAGGGAGCCCCGAAGTGAGGCTCAGTAAGGTAGAACACAAAAGAGGGACGATGGCCTTGCGAGAGAAGTTCTTGCAGTCAGAGTTGCATGCTTCTGGAGACGATGGGGCGGAGCAGCTGGGCACAGATCGGGCCCTTGCACCTCTGGAGGGAAGGGGCGCCCGCAGAGGACAGTTAGAGCCCAGAGGCCCCGCGGGCAGACGCGCTGGCGCGCGTGCCCACAGCCGGTCAAGGCCCCTGGAGAGACCCGTGCATCCGTTACAGTTACAGATCAACCGCCGGCGGGACAACACCGTGGTGGGCCACGCCTGTAAGCCCCTAAAGCGAAAGCAGGCCCTCCCCTCAGGTTCCTACCTCGTTCACCACCCCCTCCCCTCTTCTCTCCAGCGGGAAAGGTGGCGAGAGAAGCCACCGCGGCTTACTGGTTTGAGCCATCCTGGAGATGGAGAAACAGGAGAAGCTGAAGAGCAAGACCGCAACGAGCGAGATCAGCTGGTTCACGTGCTTGGCCCTCATGGCGGTGGCCGGTGGGGCACGGAGCAGCGCGGTGGGTGGGTGGAGGCTCGGAGAGGGCCGAGGCCTGCACCACCAAGGAGAAAAGCGCGAGCGCCCGTGCACCCTCCCCAAGGGGTCGCTGGGACCCGCGCACACGCGCCCTGCCCTTGGGGAGCTCCCTCACCCTCTGGCATGTGGCTCAGCACTGAGAACGTGAACAGCTTGGGAGGGCTGCTGGTAGTTAAATGCCTTCCATTAAGGTGGAGTTCCCCACTGTTCCACCCGTAGTCAGGTCTCAGTACCTTACTTTATTTTCTTGTAGTAGTGAGTGGCTTTTGTGCCTGACTCTGCGCTAAACAGTTTCCATGTTGTCTCTTTAGAACCCCACAACATCCCAGTTTTTTTTAAGTAGAAAATGAAGATAGCAACCGCATCTACCTAATGTGGTATCATCATCTTCATTTGAGCTTGGAAAAAAATTGAGCCCTAGTGAAATCCAGCAATTTGCCTCAGGTTGCTCAGCTGGAGATGGTTCCTCAAACCTTGCAGATAGATTTGTAAAAATTCCTCAAGAAAAAATATGTATCTTTACTTGGAGATTATCAGCCTCTACTGGCAGCCATCATGTAGCTCCGAGTTTTGTGTGGGAAGTGGCCAGCCCCAGGCCTTTAGTTCAATGGCCTTATTTTACCTTTTGTCAGTACCCTCTAACCCCGGAAAGGAGCAAGGAGTCAACTTTTGTGCAAGAGGAAGTTATGTATACCATGAGCAGCAGCCCTAAGGACATTTGCTGAGCTTTGCCAACTTCAAGGTATCAGTGTCTCAGACCTTCAGCCCCGGTTGGGAGACACTAGCTGAACTTCAGTAGGGTGAGACTCTCTAGTCTCCTTGAATGTGGCTTTCTGTTCGGGTTCGCCACGCTGATGACTCACTCTTATTTGGGACTCACTGGCAGTGCCTAGTGATGCGGGTTCTCCTTCAAACTCGCACTGCACCCCGGGCTGGTTTCTGGCCCTTTTAGAGGGAGAGGGAGCTGAACACATGCCAGCATGATGATGCCATTATAAGCTGTTTTCTCATGAGCTAATGGCCAGGAGTGTGGCCTTCAGCTGAGCAGTGACCCAGCCACTCCTAAAACAGGGGACTGGGAAGAATAAAGACTCAGCTTCATTCTCCCTCATCCTGTTAGTCTGGTGCCAGTCTTCACTTGGCTAAGCTCTACGGGAAGCCAGAAAGCACGGAAGTCCAGCTTGATGTACTAGATCACACGAACGGGCCTCCTGGGGTGCGGAGCAGAGGAGAAAAAGACGTAGGCTGGACTGAGGTGGGGGAAGGAAGCTATTCAGCACAAAGGTGTCTGCAAAATCAGTATCTCAGTGTTCTCTCACTCGAGCTCCAGTTTGACATTTTCAGCTGCCTTTAGGATTCCAAAACAGGACTTTGCGCTCACATTTTAATGTTTCTGAAATCAGCATGTGTCTTCCAATCGATTGTTACATTGTATAAAATTATGAGGGGGACCCAAAAACCCCAGAATTTATAAAAAACTGTGTATTTATTCTCGTATGTTTGAACTTCAGTAGCCTTCAACGTATTCTCCATTTTGTGCAATACCCCCGTTGAGATGGTTTTTCCACCACTCTAAACATTTTTTGAACTCATTGACCTTGATGCTTTTTAATGCTTCTGTTGTTTTGTTTCACTTCTTCCACATTGGCAAAATGTTTCCCTTTGAGGACTTTTTTTATCCCAGGAAACAGAAAGTTACTCAGGGTGAGATTGTGTGAATAGGGAGGGTGGGGCGGGGGTCCTGCTGTTTGGGGTCAAAAACTGCTGAGCACTCTGTGCGGTGTGGGCAGGTGCTCCCAGAAATCACTCATCATGAAATGGGCAAATGCATTGAAAAAGTCTTCAAAACAAATTCACTGAAGCTGAACACAGCCTCTCACAACAACGCCAGCTGGTACTCTGCTACAGATGGGTTCCTAGAACACTCGCCTCGCAGGGGAAGCCCGTACTACAAAGGGCTCACCCTCTAGAAGATAATTCCAGTTTTGGGAGGTTCCCTGTTGTATATCTTCTTCTGTCTTTTCTCCAGAGAAAGGAAAACCAAAACCCGCCAGTCAGTTGATGGTCATGAGTCAGAACACATATTTATTGAACACCTCCTCTGTGCCAGGCACTGAATAGGTGCTACAGATACGAACAGTCACCTGCGGGTTCGTGGCTCCACCTTCTTCTTCATGCTCGGACACGGACCGCACCCCCACACACTCACATTCCTCCCTGTCAAAGGGAGCCAAGACTCAGCTGAAATGCCACTTGCTCCATGCGGCCTTTATTGGTCACCGTCCACAAAGGAATCTCTACCTTCTTTGATCTCTTGTAACTTAGATCCTCTCTCGGGGCACTCAATCTGCATCACATTTAGTGGTTATGCACACATTCTGTGACTCTCAGGAGATGAAGATCGTGTCTGACACACATCTTTATATTATATTCCCCACTGCGCATTTCAGGGTGCAACACAGATCAAAGGTACTGGCTGAAACGCAAGCCTGTGAAACGCAGCAGAGCTGCAGTCACAGCTAATCACCTGCAGCCACTGCCCAGTACCATTTAAAGCAACACTAAATATCACGCCGGGAAATCCAGTAGATAAAAGAATAGCGGCATTCTCACACCCCGTCAGACTTCCCTCTTGTGACTTGTTTTTCAGTCCCCTTCAGACCAAGGGAAGTAGAAAATTACCAGGCTAAAGATAAATATTTGCTAAACTAACAGGAAAGGGAGGAGTAGCCTCTGGGGATGTTACCAGCACCACGGCCCTCAAGGCTTCTTTAGTTAACCTGGGCTACACCAGTCTCACAACTATTATTAGCACAGAAAAGTAAGCCATGGGGACAGACTTTTCTAGTCTCGTAAGTAGGTAGAATCCTGAAGGTGAAAACCATCTGAAAGACAAGAGCTGTTGACAAAATGTCACTTGTTTTGGCCCCTATTTCATATGTTTCAAGTTACTCAGAAATAAGTCATCTGCACCCGGAATGAGTGCCATCTGCTCAGCACAATTCAGGAAAGTGGAGGTCCTGAAAGGGGCTTTTATGGACCATCTAGGGCAGCTGTTCTTAAACTTCAGCATGCACAAAATCATCTGGAAACCTTGTTACACACAGGTTGCTGGCCACCCCCTCAGAGTTTCTGATTCAGTAGGTTAAGGCTGGGACCCCCCATTTTGCATTTCCAACAAGACCTACATCATACTGATGCTGCTGGCCCAAGGAAGCACGCTTTGAGAATCACTGCGTAACAGCAGTGCAGAGAACCATCAGTTACACTTAGAAAAATGCCCAAAGCATCCCCACATACTTGTGTAATAAAGATGCCACATCCTCCACCACCTGTGCAAGGGACTGAATTACGCCCCTTGGCCGTCACATTCTAGAAGTTAACACCAAGTACACAAGTATGTCTCATATTCATGGATGTACCAAGACTGGCCTGATTAGTGGGAAAAGGGTCCCCTAAATTGAAAGGCCCTTCTGCAGACAAGTCGAGGATGTCCCTTCCAGCAGGCAGAGCTTACAACCCAACAACTAGATGAACAGAGACAGGAATGTGGTACAGACTAGGAGTGTGCAGCAGAGGGTTCGACACAGATCAACAAGGACCGAGCGGTCTCTCCGGTGTTCCTTAGGGAAACTGTGGTATTTCACCAACAATTCTTTCTTCTGTGCCCGCGGCTCCTCACCAGCAGAGGAGCCTCTAGGGCTCACATTATAACTTATTGTGACCAATAGAAATCAGTGGAGTAATATTCTGGGACTCTTGAGCCAGGCTTTATTTAAGAGGACTGGCAACTTTTGCCTCCTCCGGAGCTCTTGGAGCCCACGCGCCATGCTGTTAAGAAGTCCAGCCCAAGTTACCGAATGCTCAGAGACTACGTGGAGAGGAACACTGGATGAGAGGCCAGCTGGGGCGTTCCAGCGCCAGCCAAGCTCCAAATGGCGGCAGCTGTGTGGGGACCCTAATGAAACCGGCAGAACTGCCCGGCTGAAGCCAGGCAACCTGCAGAATCCCAAGAAATAGCAAGGTATTGTTTTAAGCCATAAAATTGGAAACAGCTGGTTTTATATCCCACACCAGCAAGACCTTTTTAAAAACTGTTCCCCCTTTACTTCTTATATTTGAACAAATCACACGTTCACCTAACTGATCCAGCCAGCCCTCCCTATCTTTACGCTGTGTTTCCAAGAGTGTTTCAATGGCCAGTTCTAGTGTCAATTTCACAGCTCCCTCATAGATGGCAAGAAACACAGTATGTCCACACCACACTGGGATTTGGGGGTCCACTTCTGCACACTGGAGTGTAGAATGCATTCTTTGGTTCAGAGAGATAGATGACCGGGAACCAGTGAGATCTTGACAGGGTTTGGGCCTCAGCCCAAGACGGAATAAATGCCAGGCTCATTTGAATCTTCTAGACTTGATTGCAAATAGTAATCCTATATAGTTCACTGCATATAGTCCAAGCATATAGTTTATATGCTTGGATTCCTGTGTCCTGGAGATTTTTCCAAGTGCCATCTTTAACTGGCTACTTTTTTCGTTGTTGTATTAGCATTCAACAGTGTCTTACCTCATTAGTAGCTCCAGCACCACCATACAGCTTTGGCACCATGGTGCCCACTGAAATGACCTGGGTGCCTACTCCTAGGGAATGGCAGGGCATCATCCTGATGGTCCCTTCCTTTCCTGAACCGACTCAATACTTGATGTAGGCATCTCTGTGACCCACTATAACCCTCCCTTGATGTTCCTTAGGGCTTTTCACAATGCACCCCCTACACTGGGGCTATTCTTCAGGTTTGCTCACCAAGATTCTCATATTGCTCACTGCCTATGGCCCTTTAAATGTCCAAAACTAAGTTTTTCCTCCAGTGTTACGTATATTGCTCTCAACCTGGTCCACTGCATGAACGTATTTGACTGGGCTTTTACTGCCCACAGAGCAAACAGTA